GGAACATGGCAGTAGGAAAGACTCGCAGTTTACAGCCACAGGCAGGGACAGCTGATTTCTTAGACCTTAGAATTTACAGGTGAAGGAAGGTCAGGCAATAACAAGATCTTAAATGATTTAGAGCAGCATCACTAGTGAAAATGGAAATGAGAGGTATGTCTCCTGACCAATGTGACCAAACAGAATTCAAAACTGCAGCCTGGCTGGGTTAGCTTCTTCATGCAAGTTTGACACAACTGCAGGCAAACATACAGTAGATCATACAGATTTAAGCACCGAAGGTAAGAAAAACACAGCACATAGGCTGCAACAGCCAAATTCAGAACTTAATTAGCCTGTTGCTACATGCCACAGAAAGGAGCAGGGCAGGAGAGAGTTATAAATGATGAGAGCCCCAGAAAACACAGAAAATGCTATGCACAAATAAACAGAAGCAGCAGCTGCAAAGAACAAGAGGCAAATGAAAGAGGCTAATGTAGTTTCTACCTGAAGCAACGGCAAGATGTGACATTAGAGATGCTCAAGAATATTGTTTAAACTTTGGACTTTGCAGAATGGATGCAAGTGTCTTGCACAAAATCAAGAACCAGGTCTTATGGTAAGGATTTAAGGCAACTTTGGGCAGTTATTTTTGGACTTGAGGACCCAGCTACTACAAAACTACTCTGTGTGTAGTTTTGACCTTAACTCCACTCCTGCATGGAGTTTAATCACAGGCTTCTCCTTAGCTAACACAGGTGATAGATGTTTGTGCTTTTGCAGGGCAGAGGCTGGCAATTATGGCTCTGTGAAGCCCTGAGTGGTCCTGATGGATGACTGTCACAATACAAAGCCTTGAAGGACCTTGAACTGGGTGCAGTTATTGCTGTTAAATTTTGCCTATGAAGCTCAGCTTGCCTCTGGTCCATCAGTGAGAAAAAAGTGCTGCTGAAGTCAAATGAAAGAGAAGAATCATCTGGAAAGCCCTTTCCAGGATGTGCCTATAATTTAATCAGACTTGAAGTCATCTTGATTGAACTCAATAGCTCAGGGTTTGTGAGCACTGTAACCAGAGCAACACGGAGCTCAGGGCTGGCTGCTTACGTGGGTCCTGGGTGGATTTTGCACTGCACCAAAATCGGTGTTACAGGTGACGATGCTGTGTGGTGAGGCAGACAGTTGGCGAATGTCAGTCTGAACTCTGTCACTCTTCAGAAACATGGTGAGGACATGCATCAGGTGGGCTTTGAGTCCAGGAGTCATTCTGCCCAAGAAAAGCACCCAGCATAAACCCTTATGACTGCTGATGGGCACTGCCAGCTACGATGCTCTGTGTGTGAATTGCCCTCTCCTGGCAATGCTAAGGGAAGCGACAGCCAGCATGCTTGGGCTTCTTTCTGATTATCCATTCCTGGCTGCTCCCTTCTCATCCTTTCGCTGATGTTCCTGTTACTTCTCCTCCACTTGATCCGGAGGAAAAGCACATATAGCGTCTCACCTACCACGTGTCAGCGCCAGACAGCTGATTGTCAGGCTACCCGTGAAACTGTCTAGACACAGTGATGTGCTGTCAAAAGCACGAAGTTAAGAGTATGATAGGGGAGAATGTTTTCCCGGTGAATCCTCTTTCAATCATCATCTCGGAGGCTATTTGTGTTAGTGGCAGGTACAACATTTTCAGATGAAGACATGATTTGATTAATCAGCTCTGCCTCCTTAAGTTGTTCTGGGTGTTTTTCCAGAGTCCATCCCTGGCATCAGCTCAGGCTTACATGAATTCTCCAGGCACATGGAATGCTGCAGTTACAGGTAGTTCGCACTTATTTAGAAGGTAATATCAGCATAATGGTCTCCTGCTGCTAGATAAAGCCAGAAGGAAAGCCGTGGCATTTTACACATGATACACATTTAAAAATGAAGGCTAGTGGCTTGAAAAAAACATCTATTTTGGAACAGAATATCAGTTTCTCTTCTTAGGTTTGTTCTCAGAAAAAGCACAGGGAGTGGAGAGGAGCAAGAGAATCATCCCAGCACCGTTTATAATTCTAGATAAGATTGTTGCCATTAAGGGATTTTGCCATTTCCCTCTCCCTGTTTTGAGCACCTTTTGATGACTGAACAGCGGCTGATATGACTCAAATCTGTAACATGGCCTGACTGCAGTTTCAGCTGGAAACATTGGCGAGACGGTCAGGTCGCTCATAAAATGAATTACTTTAAAGATCTCCGTGTTCTGAGCCAGGAGATGCATTGCATGGCCACTGCCTGGGGATTAAGAACAAAGCCTGCAGAAGGGAGATCAGAGAAACAGGGCCAACCTCCTTGTGCCACAGTACTTATGGTTCCAGGAAAGAGTATTTAGAACGTAGCTTTGCTCTGTAATATACACACAAAAAAAGGGCATTTTTGGGTTTTACAGACTAAATCTGTAGTGTCTTTTGAGGGGTGCCTTCAGGCTACCTCCACACCAGCACCTTATCCCTGAAAGCCGATGGTTGGATGCACTTCACCAGATGTTAGATTCCAGATTCTAAGTTGGTCACCCTAAACTTCCCACAGCCGAAAGGAAAAGAAGCCCGTTTAGAAGAAAGATAATCTGGTGCATTTTAGAGCTTGCTTTAGGGTGGGATGAAAGACCCCCTAAGACCCCTATTACTCTGCACTGACTATAAAGGGAGCCCGTTCATTTTTAGGTACCTCAAGTTGCTTCAGATCTGCCAGCCTGGCCGCAGACACACAGCAGAGCATGTGAGATCTAGCCCTGGAACCTCTTTATGACTGACCACAGCAGTATCATGTTCTCTTTCATGCAGCATCCTGAGCACATCTGGTGTACCAGTGCAGAGCAGTGCATGGTGCTCACATCATGCCAACTGGCCGCAGCCAGAGACGCCAACCGGCGTGGAATGAGCAACGCCCAGAGTACAAGACTTTCGGCTTTCAAAACAGGGCGGGCACATGAAAACTGTTATTGCAAATGGTCCCTGGCCTGACCTAAATCCCAAACCATGCCCGAGACTTGTCTGGAAGAGCGCAACTGGACCATGGCCAAGCCTTTGCTAGGAACCGTGGCAACCAGGGAGCACGGACAAGGGGAGCTATGTGTGCTGGGATTTCCCTGGGACTTCCCAGCTGCATCTGCATGGTGCTGGGATCAGAGTGAGCTGCCCCAAGGCTTTGGCATGCTGTCCTTCTGCTGCAGAGCAGACCTGACATCCTGCTTAGAAGAACTCAGAGCTATCCGTCAGTAGGTTAATGCATACCAGCAGCAGGCTGGGGCACAGAGCTTTATATTAACATTGTCTTTCTTTCACAAATTAGTTAAATAACCCTTACTGTTCCAGACTTCCTCAGCACGATTGCAGGGTCAAGCCTCAATTCTCCAAAGGCAGGCAGGTATATCAGCATGATAGACTGAAGAATTAAAATACGAATCTGCCGACTACTGACACATCTATGAGGCATGTAGATCTCTGACGTAACACCGTAGTGCCCAGCTGAGATGGGAAATCTGTATGATAAGTTCAGGACAGGGTTTGATCCAGGAGCTCTGGCATTCCCTTCCCTGCTTTTGCACAACATGACTACTTGCCAGTTGTCACCTTTGTCTTCCACTCTTCATCCTTCAAATTCTTCCATCTATTGCGCGTTTGTTTTACAGTTTTTCTCAGGAATAGAAGACTAAGAAACACTGGGTAAATCTTTTCACCCTATGATGATATTTTGTTTATATCAACACATCTTAATATCCAGATATTAGGTATGCTTCTATAGGACTGCACAGGGGTCCTGTGGGGGGATTTTGGATTTATTTCTGCTTCTATCCAAGGTAACTCCTATTTTGCTGCCCTTTGTGCCAGTGGACAGCAAGCTGTATCTGCCAGCGTTATCCCCAACAAAAGCTTCATCCTGCTGGATATGGAGGAGCCAGTGTATGTTTGCACCTTGTGTATACCCCCCTTCACAAAGGGCCAGTAATTGTTAAATAAATTATATGCTTTAGTGTCCGCATGTTAATAACTCTAATCCTACCTCCAACTACCAGGTTTAGAAATGTGATTAGGGAGGATTATACCTCACCTAATGCCTAATCGCTTGTCTGTTCTTAGCTGGCCTTTTATTTCCACACACACAGCATAAGGGATCTAATCAAACATCTCGCACGCATGGAAAATGCCAAGTGAGTTAAAAATCAGTTGAGTGAGAGCAGGTAACAGCTAGAAACCAGACGTGACTGAGCACTGAGACACTAACCCGTGTGGTTACAGCTCTGGGCAGCACCCAACCACTCCCTTTGCACCCCAACAATTTAAATACATGAAAACCCAAAAGGGCTGGAGGTACATCTCCACCAGACTGAAGCTTTTTTTTTTTTTTGCAGACAAAATGTGTGAGGTTTCTCCGTACAATTCTTGTTTTCATTTTACTTTACTTTGGAAATGTGGATGTCTTTTCTGGCAACACTAATGGCCAGGTTAGTGAGCACTGCACGAGACTTCATTAACTCCATGCTCCCCGTCTTGATGTAAGATTCAGTTGCTAGGATGTGGCAATGAACATGAGGTGATGTCTTACTACCCCGAAGTAGCAGTCCACAAGCTGAACATCACTGAACAGAATTAGTGGACATGATGCTTTTACTCTTGACTGTGCAAACTGAAATCACCAGCTACTCCATCTTATCTAGCATTCACTTCACGCAAGAGCCTGGAGGTAATACACCTCTTACATGTCTTCTCCTAACAGTGATGAAGACAGACAGGCAACATCTTCAGGGGTTCCCCAAGTGCCTACATCACCAAGAAAAGTGGGTGAATAGGAGAACCAGTAGAAACAGGGTCTAGAAACCCTCTTTCAGTAAGAAGGACCAAGTCCTTCCCTGCCATAAATTACAATAGCTCTGTTGATGCCATCAGGGCTACCCTAGTTGACCTGCTGAGGCTCCTACAGTCCCTCTAAGACAGGGACTATTTAGATGGGCCTGTAGTGACAGGGCAAGGGGAATGGCTTTAACCTGCCAGAGGGGAGACTGAGATGAGCTCTTAGGCAGAAGCTCTTTGCTGTGAGGGTGTTGAGGCGCTGGCACAGGGTGCCCAGAGAAGCTGTGGCTGCCCCATCCCTGGCAGTGTTCAAGGCATCAGCTCCATTTTCTCCCCCCTTCCTTTGCCACATAACACATACCCAGCAGCAGCTCACAGCCAGACCAAGCCAAAAGGACTGAGCAATGGAGCACAGGGGTTAGATTTCATTTCTGGTAGCAGCAATCGAAACAGGAAGGTTTGTCAAGTCTCTTTACATGTTTGTGAAAGGTTTGGAGTTTTTTTAAATATCACTTTTTGGAGTGGTTTCATGTCGTTGGCTTCTTTTGTTTCAGTAAAATTAACTATCATCATTTTCTTTGCAGTTTGTAATTACAGCACCCTGATGATCTATGAAGTGTTGGTAGCCTTGAGGAGTCTGGGTTGAAGCTGCTTGTTTGTCTGCAGTGTGTGGTATCAGCAGAACTTGGGACTATGTTTAGGGGAGCAGAAAGGAGCAAACTTTTGCTGGAGAACTGAAATTGTGTTCTGAGTACAAATACAAACAAAAGAATGATAATGAAGAAATACCTAAGGACTCAGCAATCTGGGACAGATAACAAGATTTCAGTATGTACTTCAAATCTAATCTCGAGTGAGCAAACAGCCTAAATCTGCCTAATAACAGTGGATTAAATTGTAGCTTAGCTAAGTAATTATTCCCTTTTTTTTTTCAGAGTAAATTTATCTTTCATTGGGCCATTACTTTAAATTGCAATGATTTTAACTATTGGATTTTAAATATCTGTTCTGTTGGCTGATGGAAACTAAGATTGGTCTCCATTTTTAGTTTTCAGTGTTGAAAACCCCAGCAGCACAGCTTGGTGCTAATATAACCACAACTGCTTCCTTACTAGACCTGCATCTGTGAATTTGCCATCTTGGCTACTTCAGAGAGATCTAGGTAGGCACTAAGTATTGAGTATTGAGGCAGATGGACATGGATGGGCTGTGGTAGAAGCTGTAGGCAGACACCTTTCTGATGGACACCCCAAAGTCTCTTCTAGCATTTAGTCCAGGGAGACAGCACATGGCAAACCCAGGTGAGGACCAGTACAACACAGTAAAAGGTAGGAGATTCTATACTAGCAGTTAAGCACAAGGCCAAGTTTGCTAATGCTTGGGTGCAAACATAGGCCATGTTCTGGAGTCATCAGAAGAAGGGAATCAGGGTATATCTTAAGATAGACCCACAGTTTTTATGTCATAGCTAAGCTTGGATCACTTTTTTGGCTGAGTCCAAGCTGTGGTTTGGCTGGACCAAAATTACACCCTTCTCTGTGAATAAGTATGAAGCTCTTGTTGCCCTACAACATAACTGTAACTCCCAATTCTTATTCAATGCCTGCAATAACTTTAGGGGTTTGTTGCAGTCCATCGGACAACATATCATGCAGCATGATGTGGCTGCCTTGTTGGCCATTGGTGGCAGGGGCTGCAGCTCTGCCTCTCGCTCAGTACAGTCGTACAGCACAGATGGGCTCAGCCCTCTCCCCTACATCACCTTGAAGAGATTCAGATAGATGTGAGCAAATGGAATCCTTTGTGGACCTACTCCATGGTTTTGCAGGCAGAGAGAGGCAATGATGGGGCAGAAACAGGCCTAAGCCTTGCTAAGGAGCACATGAGCCTGAGTCAGCATGTACCAGAATGGAGTGAATTCACTGATTTGCCTTGCAAGTGATTTCAGGCTTTGGAAGGAAAAAGAAATCCTAACCCCGAGGAGCAGTGACTCAAGGGGTGTGCCTGTGGTCTGATGCCTCCTATGGCCAATGCCTGCCGGGGAATGTGCCCCCAACATGGAAATCTAACCCTGCAGTAAGCTGGCACGCTCACCCTCCTGCTAGCCTGAAGCCTCTGTGTAAACCAGAACCTGCCGAGACAAGGTAGACAGAGATCTTCACCCTTTTGCCTGTGATGATCTATACCTGCCCATGCTCTCCAACCTGATCCTGCCCCTGCTGCAGGCAGTGTGCAGGTCTGGCTGCCCAGCTCCAGCACTAGCCTGGAGCCTATAGGAGCACAGTTTTGTCAAACCTTCCCTCCAGCTGGCTCAAAAAACTGTGAACTATCGTTTTCTAACCAATGTAACCCTCTCTTGGCTGTTCCAGTAGCCAAGGCAGGGAGAAATTATAGGGTTTGAAGACTGGAGTAAATGGGGGTTAAAAATACTGATGGAAAAACTGAGGCAGGGGAGGAGAAGGGAGAGCAAACAGCATGGATGAGGCTAGCAGATTTGGGAGAAACACAGTTAAAAGAGTTTGGTGTTCAGGTCATAGAATCCCAGACTGTTTTCTGTTGGAAGGGACCTTAAAGCTCATTCAGTTATAACCCTCTGCCACAGTCAGGGACACCTTCCACTAGAGCAGCTTGCTCCAAGCCTGTGTCCAACCTGGCCTTGAGCACTGCCAGGGATGCCAGCGCCTCAGCACCCTCACAGATCCTGAGACATGCTAAGCTTTGACCTCAGAGCCACTTCTGAGGATAACATCAAATCCTGGAGGAGCCAGTGCCCTGGTGTTTCAGGCTTCCCACCCTCTGAAAATGTGTTCCACATCCATCTCCAAGGAAGCCAGAGAAGCTGAGGGGTAACGCATTTCAGCAGCTGATGAAGGACCTCTCCTGTCCCAGAAGTTTCCAGCAGAAGCTAGAGACCATCTCACCAGCTGTCTGAGAACTCAACATTGAGCAAGGGAAGAGCTGCCTGCTGTTTGGTCACTTCTGACACTGAAAATGACTCACCCAGCAGCCTCCATCACTGTCTGTCTGCTTGTGACTGATCCACAGGTGGCTTTTTAGTTATCAGACTTTTTTTCCTTCTCTCTGCATCTGTGACACCTGAAAATTTAACTGATGCAGGAATGCTGACCTGCAAATTGGAGGGAGTGCATGGCAAGGAGGGAGAACACGCATGTGCCTTCCTTGATCTTCCAAGGGAGGAAAGCAAGAACAGCAAGCTTGTACTCTAAAACAAAAGGATAGAAAACAAGATTATTTTTCTCCCCATTATTCACATTTTGCTTTAGCTGTATCTTGGGTGTGAAGATGGGTATTAGAAGCAAGTGCCTTTGAGGGCTTCAGGACATAGTTCAAGCTTGACCACATCAAGGGCAACATGCACCAGACACAAGCCTGAATTACTGAACTAACATCGCAGGGGACACACTTCAGGTAGCTTTTGACAAATCACTGCCAAATCAGGCAGCCAAATCCCATTTTAGGTGTTCACATCCATAATCCAAGCCCTGAATATCAGGTTTCAGCCACTGTCAAAGTTTGCCATCCTCTGTCTGTCTCCATCCAAACCAGAAAGTCACTGCAGTGGCATCATTTCCCCACAGCATGTTCAGCACTTGCTGTTCATCAAGCCTAAGTTTTCACACACACAGTATGTTAGAGATTGGAAGGGACCTCGAAAGATCATCTAGTCCAATCCCCCTGCCGGAGCAGGAACACCTAGATAATGTTACACAGGCCATCCTGTGGCTTGCTCACTCTACACTGTGAGCCTCTGGTGCTTTTTGCATTCAGCTACCCTGAAATATATAAAGATTCCCTGCAAATGACTGTCCAAGTATCTTTCATTCTCCTAAAGGACTTCTGCCTATGTTGAATGGTACAGTGACCAGCTATCTGCTGGTGGCCTCCCTTCAGACTGGAACATCTGGACAACAACCTTGCAACTGGGACTTTAAGAGCAATGTTAGCTTGTGTGGAGACAGGGTTAGGCTGCACAGATGTTGTCCTTATCCCAGTCCCCCTATGTAATCTCACTTTGATACCAGAGCCCTCTCCTCTGCAGAGATGGCAACACATAAAAGGTTCAGCTAGCATTTGTCTGTCAGGCCCTCTCCATGGCAGAATTTATAGATCTATTTCTTGGTTGATTAAAGTAAACAAATAGGTGTTTTTTTTCTCCCAAGATTTAATAGTTTCTACTGAGAATGACAGTATCCCCCACAACTGTCCTTTCTTTGATGAGAAGATAGCTTGGAAAGGACATCACTGTTCAGTGTAAGCATGTGTTTTACCTTCTCGCTAATCAAAACCATCCTTGTTTTTCCCTCTCATAAGCTGGCACATGCTCCTGTCCCAGCTTGTCTTTGAAGTTACAGTTTCTGGTTTCCACTGTCTTTCCTTCCCACCCTCCTTGTTTTGAAGGAAGAGATCATCCAAGGGACACCAGCGTGTACATGCTCCAGAGCCCTCCAGCTCTGCTCCAGAGCAGAAGCAGGCAAGACAAATAAACCAATATTCCTCCACTGTTTTCAAGGCAAAATCTCACAAAACCACCTGATTCCCAGCCTGGGAAGCAGGACATGTGCTATCTACACAGTGGTGTGGGATACTGGGGAGGTGAGCAGGGAGTGGTGCCTACCCCAGGTGCACTATTGATCTCAGCAACAGATCTGTCCTCTTTGGAAAGAAATAGATATTAGAGATGTCGTGGATTTCCTGGGACACAAATCCTAATATTCATTAGGAGCCTCAGCCTGGAGGAAAGTCACTTTGGGAAACAAACCACCATTTTCTAGTAAGATTTGAGAGGTTTCTAGTTCATGATGTTTAGGGTCTGTCTCCAAAACCCTCCCCTCCGGCTCAACTAGAAGTTGCAGGTTTGATACATAGCCCTGCCTTGGCAGATGGGAAATTAACCATCAAAACCGTTTGTCAAGACTCTCTCTGTAATCAGATATATGCTTTATTCTGCTTCAGATGTCTGTCATAGGACAGGATGAATTATTACACGGATGCACCTCTCACCACTGCACACAGAAGTAGCCTGGATGCCAAACCTATAGGTAGCCCAAGCCAACCTGCAAGGGCAAATTCTATGTTTTGTATTACCTAAGGTTGAGCAGATGATCACAGTGATAGGAAGGTCATAAAACATCAGTTGCACACAGGGGTTAAAGCTCCATCTCACTCCCTGGGTATGGGAGGAAGCGAAATCAGTCCTTCAAATTTCAAGGTTCTGGTGAATTTACGACATAAATTATTCATTGCCGTAAACAAAGACATTCCCTTATCTACCTCATCTCTACTTGCCTAAGCTATAAATATGGCTGCAATTAATTATGGTACAGAAGAGCCAATAAAATTAATTATCTCCCATAAACCTTTCCTTCTGCTTCCTATTTTAAGGGCAGTAACCAAAACACACTGCCAGGAGCTTGTGCACATACAGATCCTGTTAGGCTTTGGTCCTGCACCAGCAGAGACAACCATAGCTCTGTCCTGGTGCCTTGACTGAGGTCAGGTCTTGAATGGATGGATTGTGTCTCTCATGTGGGCAGGGCTGGTGCTTATGTGTTCATGGTGCCACAGGGATGCTGCTTCCCTCCATACCTGCAAATGCAAGGCAAAACCAATCATCTGGATCCTTTAGTTTACAGGAGACGAGCTTAAAATGTGACCTACATGGCCCCCATGCCAGTCCCCCAGGCACTTACTACACCTTCAGAGGGGTCCTGAGCTGAAGCAGAGGACAAGGTTGAGGTTGGACTAAAGTTCTTTTACTGAGGACTGTGCATTTTGCAATTGCAGATGGTCAACCTGAAATCAGGGTTGGTTTTGTTGTCTACAGTGTTCATCTCCTTTAGCTTCAAGTATCTTAGTAAGGAGACCTGCAGTTAAGACTCTGGGCTCCTGTTAGAATCAGTGGGGAGCCACAGGCATGTTCAGGCATGATCCATTTGTGACATCTGAAGAACGATGAGAGGGTTCATGCCCTAAAGTGCCTGTTTATCTGCAGTGACTATCTGGAGATGCCACAGCAACGATCTGAGGTGGTCCAGCCCCACTGTCAACACAATCCAACACCGCATGGCCAGACTGCACTGTCCTTGTTCGCTGTAGGTGGACACAACACAGCTCAGCTCACACTGAAAGTCTGGGCAGGGCAGAGAACTGAGCACACATTTTACACTCTTGGGTTAACACGTTACCAGAAAAACAGCTTCTGCTTTCTGATCACGTTTCCAAACCCAAAGAAACCCATTCTAGGGTCACTCTCTGCAAACTGCCCAAGTCCCAAAGCACAGTCAACAGCCACAGCTTCACTTAGTGGCACGCAGTGGCATTGCTGGGATTTTAAATGTCTCTTTGCAATTAACAATCCTGAAGCAGGCTGGGCTTTTTCCCTTGGATGCAACAGCAACAGGAGCAAGGGCAGATGTTGGAAGAAGAGTGCTGAACAGCTGAAATACTGAAAAGTCTTTGGTCAAGGTACTGATGTGGTGCATCTAAACTGGTTGCATTCTGGATATTATCAACCATGTTACCTATGATAACTGTGTTGGAAAAGACATCATTTTTTAAGCTTCATCATTTAGCTGGAAATATTGTCAGTAATAGAAAGAAAAGATTAGATGTCGGTCTGGCATGTTCAGTGGTATTTATGCTCCCCCTTCTGGGCCTCATCCCCTGCTAGCTTCTGTCCCGCACTCATCATCCCAGCTCACTCGGTCCTCCTGTGCTAGTGCTGCATCTGCTAGATGGATGCATCTGCTGGGGAGAAATGAGCAAACCAGAAAGGGCTTTCTGCTCATTCAGAATCTGACATCTGTCCAGGAGGTGCCCTTATAGCTTCTCCAGGACATCAGGAGACAAGATTTTATATTGACTTAAGCATTAAGCTCAGGTGTGTACGGTGAAGAAGGCTGAATTTATGGGGTTTCTTACCCTATCAGGTTAACTCTCAGCTCAAAACCTCTTCTGACACCAAAGCACATCCCTGTCCACTTAAACTTGCTGACCAGCATTTGGCAGAGAGGCAGAGAGAAGGACTCTAGATACTTTAGCTTATGCTTTCTAGATGGATCAGGGGCATTTTTCTACCTGGTGATCAGATATTTTCTCCTTTCCAGGCTCCTATAACTCCTGCTGCCCCAAAAGCTCCAATTCCTTGTTTATGGCTCCTCTGTCACCTCTTTATTTCAGCTTTTGCACTTTTCATGCTTTTCAATGCTTGGAGACACTTCCTGTGACTTGGCTGAGAGTGGACCCACACATAAGAGCATCAGTACCTGCACAGAGGTTAAGGGCACAGCAAGACTCATCAGTCCTTGCAGTTAATGTTTCCCATCTCTGCCTGAGCAAGCACCTCTCTGTTTGCCAACAGCGATGAGCATGTACCTGCTCACCCTGACACTGAAATTAGCTCCCAAATCCCTCTCTTCCCTTCTCTATTCGCAAATCCCATCTCATCCTTGGGGCGATTACAGCCATAGCAGGGAAGCAGCATCCCAATCAATACAGCTAATACACACTGTCACACCAGGCTCCCTCATCAGAGCACAGCAGTCTCAGATTAAGCAGTAATCCTCACTGCAGCCCACAAAGATGGATAAAGTCATCATTTCTGTTTTACAAATAGAGGAGCTGAGGCAGAAAGGTGCTGCCTTCCTCTAAGGAGCCCCAGTTCAGTCCTGAACTCAAATGAAATGAGGTTCTCTCTAAGCAGCGAGATGGGGCAAGATACAGCTCTGGGCTAGAAATCACAGTGTGCCTCGTGCAGGCTGGTAGGAGAGGACACAAGGTACTTAGTTTATTGCATGTAATGGGAGGGCTCTCCACCTGTCTTAGGACCCCTGCTTTGTGTGAGGCCAAGGCCCCTGTTTCTCCAGATAAATTGATTTTTCAAGTAAAAAAGTGGCTTTTTGAGCGTTTAAACCTTTTGCACAACGCATGTATCCTCTCTCACCCGCAGCTGGCTGAGGATGGAGAGGAAAGCCCATCCACCCCAGCAAGGCATGAAGGAGGTGCAGATCCCACCTTCCCTTCCCTGGAGATCTAGGATTAACCCAGCACAGCCTAAAGCCCCTTTTCAGTGCTTTGGGCATCACCTCAGCAGGTGATGGCCCTCGTTAGCCCTTCATCTTGCACATAACAAGCTGAGGGCACACACATAGCCTTCTGCCTCTGCTCTGCTGAGGCACACCTGGAATTTTGCCTTTAGTACCACACTGAATCCCATCCAGAGCATTTAAATGTGTCTGGTTCTTCAGGGTTGACTAGTGAAAGCTTTGACTGGAGAGAGTGGATGGTCTGGTAACCTAAGGATCAGTGCACAGAAGTGAACATTCAAGATGCACATACTTCTTTCCCCACATTTGGAGGGCAACTTGCATGTCAAAAGTGAGGTTTATCTGACCCATTTCAGATGTTTACCTTGAGAGAGATTGTTCTCTCCTTGACTACTGGAAAAGTGCAGACAGCAGCATCTCTGCTGTGGGTGTCTGACCTAGATAAGATGGCCTTTCCTTCACCCAGCCCATTGTAGGAGATGCTCCCAATGTACAGAAACATCCAGAACCTTCAGATTACCAGGGTCGTATTTTTCATATCTTGTTGATGTCTTGAAAATCCCTGTTCATGGTGTATTTTTGCTGAACTAGGTTAGAGAAAAACATCACAAAGGGTAAGTGGTGTCCTCCAAAACCCCTCAGCATCTTCCAGCTCCATTTTAGCTGCTTCGCATCAAGGGCCCATTGCTGCTGTTGGCCATGGAGCTGCTTGCCCTGGTCCTTCCTGCATGGGCTCTTGTACTCACCAAGCATCCTTCTCTGGTCCCCAAGGCCTCTCCAAACCATACCTCCTCCAGCATGCTCACATGTCCCTCTTCCTTCCCTCCAGGTCCATGCAAGCATCCCTCCAGCATGGATTGGGCATATGGCCTGGCATTTTGGGGTGTTACTGCAGCAGTTGATGTGGAGCAGTGTGGGCTTCACCGCAGTGGACACACATGTTTGCTGCAAACAGGAAACTCACATGTGTGTGATGTGACTGTGTTCTGTGTTTTGGGCATCCCTGCCCATTAGGTTGCTTCAGAGCATCACTGCGTGGGACATGGTTTGTGTTGGAAGGGACCTTAAACCTCACCCAGGTCCAACCCCTTGCCACAGGCAGGAACACATTCCACTGGATCATAGAATCAACCAGGTTGGAAAAGACCCTTAAACTCATCCAGTCCAACCATTACCCAGCACTGCCAAGGCCACCCCTAACCCATGGCACTGAGGCCTCGTCTCCATGCTGTGTGAACACTTGTAGGGATGGTGACTGCAGCCCTGCCCTGGGCAGCCTGTTCCAATGCCTGGCACCCTCTGGGGAAGGAATTGTTCCTCAGCTCCATCTAAACCTGCCCTGGTGCAGCTCGAGGCCGTTTCCTCTTGTCCCATCCCTTGTTCCTTGGGAGCAGAGCCCAGCCCCTCCTGGCTCCATCCTCCTCTCAGGCAGTTGTAGGCAGCCATCAGGTCCCCCCTGAGCCTTCTCTTCTCCCCACTGAACCCCCCAGGTCCCTCAGCCGTTCCCCATCACACTTGTGCTCCAGGCCCTGCACCAGCTCTGTTGCCCTTCTCTGTCCCCTCTCCAGTACCTCAAGGTCTTTCCTGTAGTGAGGGGCCCAGAGCTGAGCACAGGATTCGAGGTGCAGCCTCAGCAGTGCTCAGTGCAGGGGCACAATCCCTGCCCTGGCCCTGCCTCCGCACTGGTGCTGATCCAGGCCAGGATGCTGGTGGCTTCCTGGCCGCCTGGGCACAAGCTGCTCACGTTCAGCTCCATCAATCAGCACCCCCAGGGCCTTTCCCATGAGCAGTTTCCAGCCGCTCTTCCCCAAGCCTGGAACGTTACAGGGAGTTGTTGTGTCCCAGATGCCGGACATTTTGCCTTGTTGAACCTCATCCCATTGTCCACAGCCCATGGATCCAGCCTGTCCACATCCCTCTGAAGAACCTTCCTATCCTTCAGCTGATCAGCGCTCCCACTTGCCCTGGTGTCTTCATAGCAGAGCTGCTCTGGTGTATCTCTGGTGTTGCTCTCTCTGTTATTTTGGGGTGGAGGGTGGCAGCCTTCCTTGGAGACAAAACTTTACCACAAATGTCTGCTAATGCAGAGTACAGTACCCTGAACCAGCCACAGCCAAGTGGGTCTCTGATGGCTCCTGCTGATCTCACTGGCTCATCTTGGCATGGTCCCTGCTAAAAAAAGTCCTCTCTTGGTTACTTTCTCTTTCCCTCTTTCTCACTGACTGGCTGGTATCAGATGGGGATGCTGAAGACAGTGAGAGAGGGTTGCATAGGGATGCTCCTTCCTAGTGTCAAATTAAACAGCCTGATGAAGCCATTGCCAAGGTTCACCACTCCCAAGTGGTGATTTGCAGTCATGCAAGGGCCTTTTATAAAGGGTAGGCTGGCAGCACACACTGAGATACCTGTGTGCTGCAAGAGAGACATGAATAAGTCTCTCTGCCTCCCCGTGCCTCAGTTTCCCCACAAAAAGATTGAATTCTATCTGCGAGGATGACAGCCAAACAAATATACATATGTGGGTGTGCTTATATATTTATACGTACATCAGGGTCATTGAAACTTGGCTATTTCTGCTCCAAGTGCTTGGAGCTACAATGATCTTTGTCATGGGCTGAGCTATCAAACACAAAAGAGGAGGATGCCAGGCAGAAGCATGAGGAGCACATCTATACGTGGCTGCTTCTCCAGCAGCTCTGCCTTTTCCCTATGGGAGATGAACTTCCACGTCCTGTGGAGCTTCTGCCCGCTCTTCACTTTCCCCTTCCAGTTTCAGAGGGTCACAGTCCAGCTGTTCATCCCTGCAGCAACACTCAGAGCAAATCTCCGCTCACCTCCACTTCAGGTCCAAGGACCACATCTCAGAATGGTTGTGAGTACTGATGGGTGGCAAAGTGCCTGGGAGAACTTTGTATTTCGAACTGATTTTTTAGTGATTATCATCAAAAACTCCTGGCAACAGCGAGGGCCAGAAATAACTCCTGAAAGCTGCATAAATGAGAACCCAGGTCCTGAGGACTCAAGGGCAAAGCCTTAAATATTTCCCAGATGATGCAAAACTCCAGCTAATGTGGTAAAAGTTGGTCCCACTGAGAAAAACCCGTCCTGTTTACTATGGAAGCTGAGTTAACAGCTACACTTGAAAGGCAGGCAGGTTTACAGCCATTGGTGTAAGGATTTGCTGGAGGCTACCCAAGAGCAGAGGATGGTTTTAGCTGAAAGCCAGGGTCTGTCCTTAAAGCCTCAGACCATGCCTGGTCTGAGCAAGCCAGCTCCTTGTATGCTTTGCATTGCCTGCCTGCAAATTGGCTGCCTGAATTTAAGATGACCCCTGAGGCTCGAGGCGCTGCATGAGCTAATAGGAAGCCCGATCAGATTTGTGACAACTCGGTCAGTGTCATCTCCACGGGAAGAAAGAAATAAAACAAAACTTCCAATTATGAAGGGGGGTTGTGTGATGGCACTGCTGTTTGGCTTCTTCCTTTCATGGGTTGGTTTTTGCCTCAGTTAATAAAGAAGCTAGCTTTATACAATTGCATAAGATTTGTATGTGTCCTCTATACTCACATGAACTGGGTAATATTATTAGTTGGACCATGAGGGGAAGAGGGAAATATCAGCTAGAGCCTTGTTGCGCATTGGAAAGTCCTGTGGTAGCTCACCCTTGGGCTGCAGGGAGCAACTGTCTCAAAATTAGTGCCATGAGGTCACTGATGGTTGTGTGTGGGATGTTCCCAACCTCATGGCCTAATTGTTTGGTTATGGTTAATGGGGGTAGGAAACTATTAGAATAACAGAATCATTTCTGTTAGAAAAGACCCTTAGTTTCATAGAGTCCAGCTGTTATACTCCATCTTAGAGAAGGCTCTGGGAGACCTTAGAGCAGCTCCAGTGCCTGAAGGGGCTGCAGGAAAGCTGGAGAGGGGCTTGGGACAAGGGATGTAGGGACAGGCCAAGGGGAATGGCTTTAACCTGCCCGAGGGGAGACTGAGATGAGCTCTTAGGCAGAAGCTCTTCCCTGTGAGGGTGCTGAGGCGCTGGCACAGGGTGCCCAGAGAAGCTGTGGCTGCCCCATCCCTGGCAGTGTTCAAGGCCAGGTTGGACACAGGGGCTTGGAGCAAGCTGCTCTAGTGGAAGGTGTCCTTGCCTGTAGCAGGGGTTGGAGCTGGAGGAGCTTAAAGGTCCCTTCCAACACAAACCAGTCTGTATTCTGTGATCTCGGTGTGGCTCAGGTTTGTATTTCCTGTGCTTGGCAGGTGGATGCTGCAGGGTGTGAGGGGAGGCAGTGGAAGATCGTGCCCACACTGATGCAACCGAGAGCCGCAGACGCCTGCAGATGCAGTTACTGCACCGCCGATGTCCCCAGCATCGTTCTGGTGGCAGAGCTGCCACCGGGCCACCACACGAGGGCAGTGCAAGTTTGAGTACGCCGCAGGGAGCTGCAGAAAGGAGATGAGTAGAAACGGGCAGAAAAGTCCCAAATTTCCTTATGTTTTTTAGAATAATAGAATATTTTGTGGGTTTTCTTTTGTTTATTCATTTACTGTTTCTTTTTCTGAGTACAGATTTCAAGCTGGGCGGGATCAGACATCACCAGGGGTTGCTCCGGAGCCTAATCACCCTTATGGGGACAGACCAGATGCCACATGAAGGGTCACCCTAGAGGACCACTGCCACCACTTGATGCCATAACTTCTCCAGCCCCCAGCCCCACAGCAGCATTAAAGATACACGAGCCACTCACTGCTTCAGATAACAGTTTATTTTCTCTAGGGGTGTAAAATGTGCAGCAGGTACATCTACAGGACTGCTGTTTTCTTAGCCAAGAGGAGTCGCAACCACACAAGAGACAGAAACAAAGAAACCTAACAGTATTCTGCCCTACAGAGATTAGTGCAAGTCATGTAAGACATCAGTTCACACAGGAAAACAAGGCAAAAAGAAGGCATTTCCAAGCCACAGGTATTTTGTCTCCTGACATCGGGATGGGGCTGGGAGGTGGGATGTGGCTGTTTTCTCTTGAGCTATGCAGGGAGACAGTATTCTACAAGAAGGGTGTTTTCCCTTTTCTTCCCTTTCTTTTTGGCTTGGAAAGAAAGTCACACGTGGAGCAAGGAAGTGCAGGCTGTCAGAGGTACCAAAAAAGCAATGGCAGACCCTAATAAATGCCATAGGAGACTTGATGCAAAACACAACACTTTCTTCAAATGAGGTGGTTGGGGTCTTTGCTTCATTTACTCTTGGACGTTAAAACTTTCCTCTGCAACCACACAACCTTCCAGCTTCAGGGTACTGTAAATAAAGCACTAATCCCCTCCAAAATGGGCGTGAAAATGCACAGGACTGGGGGCACAGCAGGTCCCGTGGAGCTACGGGCCAAGATGGGACAGTGTCTACAGCCCCACTGGTGTCACTGGGAGTCCCGCAGAGGACCACAAGTTAGTTGTAGAGCATTTTAGGGGCCATTTAAAGAAATTACTCATTTCTTGTTTTCTGCAGGTAAATGCCGAATAGAAGAGCCGTTTTGCTTCCCAAAGTGCAGGTACTTTCTGTCCTGGTTTTAATACCTTTTTGGATGTTCCATTTCTCCTACACAACTAGAGGAAGATGCTCTTGCACCACTCGCCAAAGGGTTTCGAGCCAGGGGAAAAGAGTTGCCCATCCAGCTCCGTGCTACTCGTGCAGCAACACTAGGAGCAAGCAAATGGTGTGTGTACAGCATCACCCCAGCACCGTTTCCCCCACCATGGTCTGGATGATCCAGCAGATAACAGCAGCTGCTCAGGAGCAGGAATGCAGCCATATGTTGCTGCTAACAAGCATTTACTGAAGCTGGTTTTGCTCTGTGATTCCCATGTGTCTGATTAGCGCACAGCTCCCCTGAGCAGTTTCCAGATTTTTCACCCTCCCCTCGCAATATTCTTTTTTTCTTCTTTTTTTTTCCTTTTTTTTTATTGCATTATAAGCAAACCATAAGATGAGCATAAAATGGGGTCATAAACCCAAAGATTTTAAAAGAATTAAAATAGTTTAAATAGCTAAAAAGCAATCCACTTAATTTTGCTTTTGTATATGTTTACTGCTCAGAAACACACTGTTTATACGCTGTGGTCCTGCAGGCTGTGAGCGCAGATGAAATGCTCAGCCACTGACTGTCTGCCCTGGGAGGGGGACTGGTATTTCCATCTTTTCAAGCCACATTTTTGGACAGTGCCCACAGGTCCAGACCCCATCCTGAGCACCTAATGCTGCAGAGTGCTTCTTGTGAGCATGAGGGGAGGAAAATAAGTGGTTGCTGTGAAAGCTTGGGATGCTTTGCTGGGATTGAAGAGGGGTGTATGACCCCATTAGCCTAAATCCCTGGCCCCCAAGGTTGGGAGGATGGACTTGGACCCTTATTTCCCATTGTATTCCCAGTGAAAACAGACTGGGAAGAAATCAAGCCGACTGAGCTGGGAATGATCACTGGGCTGTGCCAGCATCTCATCCTCCTCGGAAAGGTTTTGCCAGGTACTGCCCCATCAGCTGAGCAGAGAGTAGGGAGCTGCAGTGATGGGAACATCCCTCCCCATGGTTAAGCTTATCTCACTGCATCTATGGGAAACGAAAGTTTAGTCCAAGCTAGCTCTTCCAAACCACGCTGGTAGGTAGGAGATGACAAGTGCCGTGGAAGGTGATTCATCCCACCCTTGGGAGGTCCAGTGTAGGTGGGGTGAATCACCCTCCCGCAGTACCTGCCTCCCTCAGAGCCAGGATGGCTGCAGAGGAAATCACATTGCAGGTTAGGACACCCAGAACTGAAGTGTCAACACGCAGGTGTCTCAATGTGCACAGCGTCTGTTACTTCACTTCCAAACGTGAAGTTTGGAAGTTTGAAGGCTGAACAACGTGGGATGAGTCCCAGTGTTCCCACCTGGAACCTGTTTTCCAAGGTTTCACACCACTTTCAAAAATTAACAAGGAGCAGCAACGTGAATTACAAGGCTCACATTTGTGTCAGCTGTGTTCACAGAATCATGGAATCAGGAAACGGTCTGTGTTGGAATGACCTTTAAAGGCCATCCAGTGCTAACCCCCTGCCATGGGCAGGGACCCCTTCCACTAGAGCAGCTTTCTTCAAGCCCCTGTGTCCAACCTGGCCTTGAACACTGCCAGGGATGGGGCAGCCACAGCTTCTCTGGGCACCCTGTGCCAGCGCCTCAGCACCCTCACAGGGAAGAGCTTCTGCCTAAGGGCTCATCTCAGTCTCCCCTCGGGCAGGTTAAAGCCATTCCCCTTGGCCTGTCCCTACATCCCTTGTCCCAAGCCCCTCTCCAGCTTTCCTGCAGCCCCTTCAGGCACTGGAGCTGCTCTCAGGTCTCCCCTTCAGGAGCCTTCTCTTCTCCAGGCTGACCCAGCCCAGCTCTCTCAGCCTGGCTCCAGAGCAGAGCTGCTCCAGCCCTCGCAGCATCTCCATGGCCTCCTCTGGCCTCGCTCCAACAGCTCCACGTCCCTCTTGTGCTGCTGCCCCAGAGCTGGATCAGGACTGCAGGGGGGGTCTCCCCATAGCGCAGCAGAGGGGCAGGATCCCCTCCCTGAGCTGCTGCTCACGCTGCTGCTAATGCAGTCCAGTGCTCATCAGTACCTTCCGCAGCTGGCCCCAGGAGCCATGGTGAGAACAAGAAACCACGGCATCGTGAGCTGGGGAAGAGCCCCACATGCTTCCATCCCCAGGCTTGGTGCTCATCATGCCCATCCTGGATGGGGAAGGGAAGCAGAATCCTGGGAAGGCACCTCCCTGCTTAATTGTGCTCCCACATGGATACCTGTGGCCTGGAGTCACCACACAACATCAAAAATGGGAAGAATTAGGGTTCTCTCTAGTTCTCCCTCTCCACCCCAAAACATGATGGCTGCCAGAATCTGGCTCCATCCATCCCTACCCAACCCAGCACAACATGGGAAAATCAACCTTAACTCACTCATCACAATGCCGACAGCCCCCTTGGGTTGGAGCTGTTACCAGCTGGATGGTTACTTAATGTGTTCTTATTTTGGCTTCCCAAAAAGTTCCTTTGGAAAGCACCAGATTTATGAGACCAAGGAACATCCAAAGACCTGAGGCCATAGGGATGGCCATGCCGACCCGAGCAGGAAGGCAGCTCTGTATCTGCAGTGGCTTTGCACTACAGGCAACAGAACCAAGTCCTGCTAATAATTTAAGATCATCAATTAATGTAGTTTAATAAATACATAAAAGGATCTGGTATCTTTTTTTTCCATCCACTTTCTAGCATCAATCCAAGTTAAGGGTGATTGTCCCGTGAGTAAGTAAGGCAAATCTGTTTGTGTGTGTGTTCCTCTCTCCTTTTTTTGTTTTGATTTTTTTTCCCCTACTGTTTTGTACATAAAGCAGTCACATAAAAATAGTTATAAATAGAAAAATTGCAAAGGCTTTTCCCCGCTAGACAAATAGGAAGGAGAAAACAAACAAAAAAACCAACCCAACCAACCCAACAAACAAATCGAGACAGAAAAAACACCTTGCTTCAAGTCCTCATAGATTATACAGTACTCAGCATCTTTGGATACTTTACAATGACTCCAAATCGTAGACAAAAAAACACCTGAAGTAACCGTCCATTTGCAAAACGTCGCTCGTGTGAGAAGTTGGTATGGATTAAAAAAAAAAGGTTTGATGCAGTTTTAAGACGTTTTCTTCTTTTTTTTTTTTGAACTCTCTCAATTGACTTGTTGCAGACTGAGTCTTTGCTGATTTCTGATTGGAGGAGGAAGCAAGCATTGGGCAGCTCCTTGGGATCGTTCCTGCTAAGGATGGTCTCAGAGCAGAAGTCCTTCATACCCTCATGGTGGGCTGTGGATCCCCTGTGCCCCCTCCCATTCTCTGGTGGGGACACCATCATCCAGCCACCGCTTCAGAGCGACACCATTGATGGGCAGGCCAAGAAGTTAACGAACCCATGGTCCTTTCATCCCCTTTGATTCTGCTGATGGTGAAAGGTAACAGTAAAAAGAGAAAGAAAAATCCCTAACTTGTAACATTTACATTATCAGGTGCTGGCTCCATGTAAAACCAGCTTCCTGGGGCACCCACCTCAAGCTGTCTCAGCCAGTGGTGAAACTGGGGTCCCACCTCAAGCTGTCTCAGCCAGTGGTGAAACTAGGGTCCCACCACATCTAAGAGGAGCAATTGGAGGCAGATGGCCATCAAAAGCCTTTATGCTTGAAAGTAGCTCATGGTTTTAAGAGCTGAAGGAGGCTGATGAGGCAATTGCAGCCACTTTTCCATCCTCAGAAGTAATATCAGGTAGGGGTGGCCAAGCAAGGGTCTGCAGGGATGCTGGAGAGGACTCCTGACCTGTTGGCCACCATGGGTGAGCTTCAGCTTGGAGCACCCCATTGTATGTTACCGCCTCATGTTTTGAACCAACAAATGGTGAAGAAATAGTACTTCTCCTTCTTGCAAGTAGACAATCTCAATCTCATCTGCAAGACACCTTTAGTGGAACTTTTTTTCCACAAAGATCCCTTGAGACAAACAGCAGGGATATTTGCACATCCAATTTTTTTCCCATCGGCATTGCAGATTCAGGGACACTCCAGTGTTTTGTGAATTTCATCATCAAAATCTGTATAGGAATTAGGGGGAATTAAGGACAAAACCCTATACCTTTCAGAATGGTCAGCGGCGGTGAATTCTGACTCTTTGGTTTGAAATGACGTTTTCATTTCAAAATTCCCCCATGGTTTATTTTCCCAAAGCAAGGTTTTAATAAAAGCTCAGAATCAAAAAATTTC